TTCTTTGAATCTCATATAAAAGTTTCAAGTAAATTTAAGCTAAATACAGTACAGGAAATTGATATTTTAAAAATAGTACAGTCATTAAAATCAAATGCGGTTGGCGTAGATGGCATATCCCTTAATATGCTCGAAATGTCAATACCCAACACAATATCTGTTATAACAAATATAATTAACAAATCTATAGAAACCCATACATATCCCACAGAATGGCAACACGCTTTGGTTAGAACTATTCCTAAAAACGTAAATCCAACTAACATGAAGGACATCCGCCCGATCAGCATATTGCCCTGTGTGTCAAAGATTTTACAGAAGGTTGTGGTCGAGCAGCTAAGAAAGTATTTGGAAACAAATGAAATACTCCCTAGTTTACAATCGGGTTTTAGGCAACATTATAGTACAACTACCGCTCTGATTAAAGTAATCGATGATATTCTGTCAGACCAGGACTCTGGAAAAGGCACAATATTAGTTCTACTAGACTTTTCTAGAGCATTTGACTGCTTGAATGTACCATAACTTTTGTCAAAATTGCACTATTATGGTTTCGACGTAACTGCGGTGAAATGGTTTGAGAGCTACTTTAAATATCGCGCACAGCGAATAGAAATTTCTGACCATAGAGGGTTGCCGCTAGTTTCCGATTTCAAGGTTGTTAAAACAAGGTGTACCTCAAGGCTCAATTTTAGGACCACTTTTGTTTGCTATGTACTGTGCAGATATGGTAGATCACATCAAACATTGTAGATATCATATGTACGCTGATGACACACAGATTTACATATCATGTAAGCCTGAAGAAACTCAATCAGCAATAAACAAATTAAACAAAGATTTAGAAGGCATTGCTGATTGGTCAAAATCGAATGCTCTTGTTTTAAACGGAAATAAGTCAAAGTATATGATTCTAGGAACGGCTAAGCAAATTCAAAACATTGCGAATCAACGGCTTCATGTCACCATAAAAGGGGAACAAATTGAACGTGTGACTGAAACTCGCAATTTAGGTCTGCTTATGGATGATCGTTTGCGCTTCGAGAATCACATACTTAATACTGCTAGAAATTGCTTCTACAGACTTAAAGTCCTGTATCAAATTAGAAATTTCCTGAACACAGATATTCGAATAAGGCTCTGTGACTCAATTCTTTCTAAATTTAATTACATGGATGTAGTTTATGGTCCTCGTCTATTAATACGTAGTCAAAAACTCATTCAGCGAGTTCAGAATGCTTGTGCAAGATTTTGCTTCGGGATACCGCCACGCACTCACGTTACGCCGTAAATCAACCAAGGCAACATTTTAAAAATGAAATATCGTCGTCACTTTCATTTAGCAACACTACTGTTTGGTATAATTAAATATAATATGCCACCTTATCTCTTCCAAAAGCTGGTATGGTCGCGCGACGTAAATTCAAAAATAACTCGTGCGTCGACTTATTCTCTCGCCGTGCCATTCCATCGCACCGCTGCTTTTCGTGGGAGCTTTAGGTACGCTGCCTCAAAGTGTTGGAACGACCTGGCGCCACCGCTTCGAAGCCTGAAAACTATTAAAACCTTTTAAAAAAAATATAAAAACTATCTAATATCAACTCAGAAGAACATAGGCTGAAGCGTACTACTCACCAAAATGGGTACGGGCACATAGCACAGGCGGACAAGGTACTAATAAAGTTGAGTGATGATAATATAACCTTAAATTGGATACTGTTCTGATAGTTCCAACTGTCCGTAGGCTAAAAAAAAGTGTAATTTAGTGTCGTCAATCAATAACTGAGGTAATTTATGTATAAGTTTTAGAAATAAGTGTTAAAATATACATATATTAATATAAGAAAACAAATACAACGTAATAATAACTTTTGAAATAATGTAACATATTAATTAATAAAGTTAAGAGCACACTGGTAACAAAATTTTTGAAAATAAAAATAAAGTGCATGTATAATAAGCACATGTACATACCTTTGTTTGGTTTGAAATCAATAATTTCAGCATAGTTAGACGGATTGGTTTTAGAATATTATTATGTATCACTCGCGGACGTCCGTACGTTATTATCCGTTCGGGCCCACTGAAAACCAGCGCTGTTGCTCCGGCGACAGCATAAGCTGAGTGAGGTCCGTTTGTATGACGCGCCACACACATACTCGTACAATATGAGAAACGATTCTTTTTGTCTTTCTATTTTTTTTAAATTATAATCTATAAGTATTAATACTTTTAAATTGTTTTATCCGTCAAATTGTGGTTTTGTTTCCTATTTTTGTTTTTGTTTGTTATAATGTTTATAATTGATGTGTCAAAATTTAAGTGCCTACTGATGTTTGTGGCGTGCTGCAATAAATCTTTCTTTCTTTCTTCTTTCTTTCTTTCAAATTTCACCAAATTATGTTGCGAAATCTCGAAGTTATGTTAAAAAAAAAAAGTTTATTGAATTCTTTTTCCTTCAATATCGAATGAACCGATTTTTATTTTCCAAACGGCATACGACGTCATTTTTTGAAGTTAAGAGTTTAGTTAACTTAGTTAGAGGTTAGTTTTTGAAATCGATCGGTTAAGCTGTTTAATAGTTATACCAAAAAAACAGTTCTTCAAAGTTTTTATTTTACTTGATTTCTCAAAATCGACTCTTTAGATCGTCGAAACCGCATCTCAATCGATCAAGATGTTCAAAAGTTCTGAAAGGTTTATACAAACATACACACACATTCACACACACAGACACACACCACGCACGCACGCACGCACGCACACACGCACACACGCACGCCACGCACGCACGCACGCACTCACGCACGCACGCACGCACGCGAGCACGCACGCACGCACGCACGCAAGCACGCACGAACGCACGCAAGCACGCACGAGCGCACGCACGCACGCACGCACACACGCACGCACGCACGCACGCACGCACGTACGCACGCATGCACGCACGCACGCAAGCACGCAGTCACGCACGCACGCACGCACGTTCGCACGCACGCACGCACGTACGCACGCACGCACGCACGCATGCACGCACGTATACGAACACGAACTCGAACACGAACACGCAGCACGCACACGCACAAGCACACTCACATGCACGAAAACACGCACACGCACACGCACACGAACACACACACGCACACGCACACGAACACGCACAAGCACATGCATATGCGCACGCACACGCACACGCGCATGCACACGCACACGCACACTCACACGCACACGCACCATGCACACGCATACGCACACGCACATGAACACGCACACGCACACGCACATGCATACACACACGCACACGTACGCACTCATGCGCGCACTCGCGCACGCACACACGCACACACGCACATACACACACCATACACACACACACACACAAGCGCAAAATGACTATGCCCAACTGAAATATTCTTCAATCTACAACCAAACACGCACAGACACACACACACACACACACACACACACACACACACACACACACACACACACATCCATACGGCGTAAAATTAGTCATAATAGCTTCCTGGGTTCTCAAAACGTCGAGATCTAATTAAAACTCGATTTTTGAAAATCAGGGTGAAACCAATAAATTCCCTGCGGAAAGTTAAAAATTAAACGAAAGTATTTCTAAAGAAGCGTTATACCTTAATTCACTTCAAAATTATCAGACTACTGGGCGAGCTTGCGCGTGAGCAAAAACAATTTTCTCTCAAGTCTATACCCACAAATTTTTATGTTTAACCTTGTGATTTATTTATGGTCATTGCAGTAAAGCAGACTTTGAGGGAAAACTGTATTCAATAACTGATTTCCATACAAATTTTTTACTCCTTTTCCACCCCCTTAGGGGGCAAATTTTCAAAATCCTTCCTTAGCGAATGCCTGTCATAAAATATAACTGCCTGTATGCCAGATTTTAGCGAAATCAACTCAGTAGTTTCGGCTGTGCGTGGATAGATGAGTCGGTCAGGTTTGCGTTTTATATATGTAGATTCTTCCAACTTTTTACCCTAAGTACAGTTTAACACACCAGGTCATCACTCCATCTAGTGAGGGGTCGCCCTACACTACGCCTACCGGTACGAGGATGCCACTCGAGAAACTTTTTTCCCCAATTCCTCAACAGTTGTCGGTTCTTCGAGCTATATGGCCGGCTCATTGCCACTTTAGCTTACTACTCCGTTGTGCTATGTCGGGTGGGTACTACTGCAGATATCCTCATTTCTAAGTTTATCACGCAGAGAAACTCCGAGAATAGCTCTCTTCATAGCTCTTGACCTTGACCTTGAGCGTCCTCATACGGCCAGCAGTAAAGGACCAGGTCTCAGATCCGTAAGTCATCACTGGCAACACGCACTGTTTGTGTGTGGTGTGGATTGCATGTAAATCAAATTAAATTTCCTCGTTTTAAATATTATACATTATTACGTAATTTATTATTTCCGCAATATGCCTAGGCTACCAACACTTATTTTGAGATTGATGTCATGGATAAATTTATCACATTTAATGTACATTTGCAATCGTTTACTAAATGTCTTTACTACAACAAATATTTTAGCGAATAACTGGGCTTCTTCTTTCAAGCATTCCAAAAACGTTACCAACGAATATTTTTATTTAACTTCATTTTAAATTACTTTATGACAAGACTCCAACGAATCCGTTATCATGTGAAGTACTCCTTTTATTTCAGTGTTGACCTTTCAAACAAGAAATATGTATGTATTTTTATAGGTAATGTCTACTAAGTATGTTGGGATAGTTTTTATCATGTTTCTATAAATGACTGAACACAGCCGAGGGAGAAAAGCGGAAGAAATATAATATATACGAATTCCGATTATCCACCCCATCTGGGGTGGATAGACGAAGAAGCGTTTCCGTGTATCCACTCTAAAGAGGATTTTTTAGGGTAGATAGATGAAATACCCCTGCTTCGCGGCTACTTTTATATTGTGTTTAATTTGTTAAACCAGTCATTAATTTTCGCCCAG